CAGATTCACTGAGCGCTCAACACAGACAGCATCGTCAGAAGGAAAGTTGATAAAATAAATTACAAATTTTGTATTGTTCGATACATATGCGTACTGAACCGAAAGCACTGTATCGAACGGTTCAATATCGATACGAGTATCGTTGCACCCCTAAAATAAATATATATATTATTAGTGCCACATATAGGACCTTTAATAGCAGAAAATGCTGATGCAGTCAGAGTTTTTGGTGACATATTGTTCCTGTCAGGGTGGAAAATGTCATTTTGGAGTAAATAAGATCAGCAATCTTGATGACAAAGCATGTTTACTGTTGGAGCCCATGAAGTCACAATTTTCATAACAAAAATATGAACCACATATCCATCAAGCGACATAACAAATAATGAACACAATTTCAGAGCCCAGATTTGTATGTAATAAAAATTTGTGTATTGAAAATTACACGTGCTTTTCAAAAACAGTTCCTTCTGCTACTCTTGAACTCACCTGCTGTGACAAAACAAATTTCCCACGTGTGGGACTAATAAAGGTTATCTTATCTTATCTTACCTGGGACTGAGGTGCCGAGTGCCACAAAAACCACAGCAGTAACTGAGTCCTTTAGGCCAATAGTGCAGCCGAAGTGAGATGCCAGGTCGCCGATGACGGCCGTGAGCAGGCCGATTATAATGATAGAGATGGTGAAACACGCCCAGCCATTCATGTAGTCCGTGGGAGGAACACAAGCAAACAGGACCTTCCAGAAGACGGTCAGGAAGTGCATGACGTAGTCAAAACAGGAAGGAAGCCTTTCTTCCCCTGTGTCATCCTCGTCCTCATCTCCTGGGCAGAAGTGGGGCCGAGCGGGGGGGAGACAGAGGGGGAAAATAGGATGACAGGAAGGAGCGGAGGGAAGAGGAGAGGATGGAAAAATAGCAGCATATGGACAAGGATAAAGAGACAGCCGTGAAGCAGGAGAGGTAAATATTAAGTGAGGAGACAGGGAGCAATGAAGAAGAGAGAGACAGAAGATGAAGAAGCAAAGGGGAGTATGACACAGAAAGAAGGATGACAGATGATGAAGCAGAAAGTTGAGAGAGCGAAGAGGATAAAGAACCAAGAGTTGGAAAAAAGGGGTGAGATAAAGGATCCATAAAGTAAGCAGATAAGGGATGACAGAGGGGAAAGAAGAGAACAACATTTACTTAAAATGACATCTCAACTTATTTCTCAGTGTGAGACAGAGAGAACCATCTATCTGTTTGTCTGTCTGTCTGCACAGTTGTTTACATAACTAATCACATGGAAGAAACTTAATACATTTGGACACTTAGACATAAAGACAACCTGCTGAAGCTGAAAAGGACGAAAGGACAACAGGAGCAAATACAAATCCAAATTTTAATATTCCAGAGTGATAACGGAGGTCAAGCAAATGCAGACTACTAACACAGGTAGTGCAGAAAACTGGTGGGAAGGGAACAAATTTCAGAAGGATGGATGAGAACTGATGATTACAGATTAAAACAAAAACCTATTGCAACAATAACGTTAAAAAAATTTCAAAACTACATTAGATATTAGAAAACTCTCATGAACTCTCCCTAAACCAAACTACGAAGTAATTCTGGGCAGGTTTTAACAAGGTTTCAGATTTACACTCGAAATGTAATTACGTTCTGGTTTGAATGACATGTTTCAATCACACTGTGTTTTGGGCAATTAGATTTGATGTTTTCTCTTGTTTAGTGAGCGTGTCGGAAGTGTTACCCAGTTAACAGTGACATGGATGTAAACTCTAGCATATTAAAAAAGCAGTGCACATAGTACTGTAAATCAGCTGCCCTTGCAGAAACTCTGGGGTAACATAAGAGGGATTTTCAAGGGATGAACGCAGCCCTTTTGATTTGCAGGATGGCCAAGTGGCCAGAGAATGCTCCTTACGAGCGCATTCGGATAAAAGTTTCATCTCAGCAGCTGAAAATGTCCGTGGATCCCTCCTCAGGTGAAGGAACAGGGTACTCTCTGTGTCCCAGCGCCTCAAAGGCAACTTAGCAGAAAGGCAGGGACACTGTCAGGACTCAAAGTGTCAGACTACGTGAACTGCATGCATTTTTCAGCCAGTGGTGGATCATGAAAAAATAAAGAGCATTGCAGGATTTAATATTTCAGCAGCAAAGTGACAAACCAAGGCCTTCATGGCGCTCACTGTTGTGGCTTGACGTGATAGATGAGGTATGTGTTATGTACAAGACATTATTCAAGAGCTTTGCTTTCACCGATATGAGTTTTTGCAAACGAATAGTGGCGTCTATATTTTTAGACTGAAGACTGCGGCAAAGCAAACAGTGCTGCCAGAGTCTTCGCCTGATTAGACTCTTTCTTTATGTTAAATAATTACACAGAAAAACGCATAAAAGATAAATGGCTTGGCTTTGTATACCTTTTGCCTTTATTGTCATACATAGTCACATATAACATCTCATACTGAAGTAAAGTTTGGGTTTTACAGCCCACTAAGAGCGGATTACATTACCTGCACTGACTGTAATGGCCTCCATGAACTGCTCTCTCCAGGAGTTTGTTCCCACCACCAGAGCCAGGTTGGTCTTCTTGATAAGCTTATCCACTGTGCTCTGCATGACACGACACCAAAACACAAATCAAATCCATCCATTATTTAGCCCCAGAGTTTTTACTCTGCATCCATGGAGCCTCCTGAAGAAAAATACTCGAGCTTCACCACACGATGGCAGTGCTTTCCAATCCCTGATGACAAAAACCCGTTTAAAGCATGATAAAAAACACACACACACCAGAAACAAACATGGAGGGTATATTTGGAGGGCAGAGGATGCATTAAAAGCAAATCACCTCCAGAAATAAATCTATGTGGGATGGGAAGCCTCGGAAGAGAAGCTGAAATTAGAAATATGTAGCTGTTCTTTTATGCAAGGTCGCAGCTGGATTAGTTATTATGATCTCTGTCTAACTACAACAACCATGTACGCAAAGCTATCTTCACCTTGTTTGAAGAGTAACCTTTCCCACCTTAAATTCATACGATTCCTCAATAATGACTTCTAGCTTGGAGTGTTCTCCCAGCACCGGCTTCCCCATCTCCGCGATGCGCTTGGCTTCCTCCTCGTCAGAAGTCAGCTTCCTGTCTGGTACATCTGAGCAGACGGTGCAGGAGGGAGCAAAAGACAAAGGAATCAAAGTGAGAAAGATGACAATCAGAACAAGCAGACGCACAGCTGGGCATCGTGTGGTGTTGCACTTTGGAGCGCACAAACAAAAGATCAGAAGGTTGCTTTATTTAGAACTTTCATATTATGCTCAGAAAACACTTTTTATGTGCGGTGTTCAAGTTACTTCTGTGTCAAACTAAAACAGTCATTGTGGCAAAGCATTAAAAGTCTCTCTGCACTGCATTTGGTGGTGAGCCAACTTAGTTGTTTAAAGGTTAGACAAACGCATTCTTTATCGATCACAGCAAAAACTCAACCCAGGCAAATATTGGGTGTAAACATTTTCCATTTTGCTTTCAATGATTCTGTTTTTATCCACATGTGCTGGACTTTACAGCAAATTTCATACTATAAGTCAGCACTTCATCAGGAAATCTGTCATGCTTTCTTGTTAGTCTTATAGGTATTTACTGTAAATTCCTCCATCTCCAAAAACATTGTAGCTTTTGGTGAGCTTTCAGTCTCACTTAAGCTGACTGCTTTATAATCAGAATCAGAATCAGAAAGGGTTTTATTGCCAAATGTTGAGCCGTATTTGACGTATAGACGTATTTGGTGTATTCCAGGCTTTAGCACTCAGTATTTCTTGTATTTCAGAGACACAAGTCTCAAAAGCTCAGCATAATAAACCTAATACAGTATAACTCTGCATGTAGCTACATGATATGAGAGGTGAGAAAGGGCATTCCCTGCTCAGTGTCCACATACTGGCTTTAAATGATATTACATGATCTTTACATGGCAGAGTAGAGCTTGTTCAGTTGTCAGTGAGATGGATGTTGTTGGTCTGCAAATTCAGTGGCTGATATGATTTTTACAGTTGGGAAAAGGTCAGCAGATTCATCTCAATGACAACAGAGTAGATCCATACACCGACGAAGACAGCTTGATATCGGAGAAAGTTCACGAAAATGAGTGAGTCTTAAGTTAGAATTATTTTATCAACCTTAGGAGGAATAATGAACTTTTAAGGATTTGACAGCTCAAGCTACAGCGCTCTAACAACAAAGTCCAGTAGGACGCTTTTAGAAGTATCTATTCTTATTCCTTGCTGTATTTTCTGTTATCCACACACTGTTCCACTGGTGGATGCTACAAACATGGCTGAAATTCCACAGAAGTGCAAGTAATTGAGAGATAAAAGCTAAAAACGAAACTTTATCTGACACATTGTTTTTCTACTCCTGTCTCTGTGTGATGACAGTGATAGTGGATATGCTTAATACAGTAGAATACAGATTCTACAAGTCTCACTTAGTTCATGAAACTACAATCAGAAAAAGGCTGAACAAGTATGGCTTATTTGGAAGGAGGACACCTCCAAAGAAGACCATGGCAGGACAGCTTAGGATTGCAAAGCTGCGTATGACAAAACCAATGTGGAGATATTTGGATGATGAAAACCAAACACAGCTTATCAGCACAAACACCTCCTACTAAGGCATGGTGGTGGTTGGGTGAGTGTTTGGGCTTGCCTTTCAGCCGCAGCTCCTGAACACCTTACAGTTACTGAATCAACCTGAATCAACCATGAACTCCTCTGTATACTGAGGTATTCCAGAGTCAGATATGAGGCAGTCTGTCTGACAGCTAAAGCTGGGCTGAAAGTAGGTCATGCAACAGGACAAAGATCCCAAGCACAAACAGAATGGCTCAAAAAGAAATGAATCAAGATGCTGCAAGGGCCCAGTCCAGACCTAAATCTGGCTGAAGTGCTGTAGTGAGACCTTAATAGAGCTGCACCTAAATGAATGCTGGGAAACCTCAATGAACTGAAGGAATCTTGTAAAGAAGAATGGGTCAAAATTCCTTCACAACATGAGCGACTCATAAAGTTATGCCAGAAACCATTACTTGCAGTTACTGATGCTAAAGGTGGTTCTGAGTTATAATCAATCATGGGGATGTACTTAATTGTTTTTCACAGGAGTGCATGGAGTTTTTTAAAAACCTTCACATGACTTCACTTTCCAGTTTTTGAGGGACAGTTGGTTTAAAGAATCAGCAGCTAAGAGAGCTTGACTGAAGCAGAGGATAAACTGAGGGGCTCCACCAGGTCCCAGTATAAGATAAATGAAAAGTTTTGCAAGTAAAGCTGAAAGAGCAATAAACATGGAGATGGAAACGAGCATGACAGGTCCCCTTCAACTGTAATGTGGAAGCTCTGATGAATTTGCTTCCAGTCCGTGTGTGCCTGCGTGCCTTTGCTTTGCAAAGAAGCAGCAATGCTTTACTGAGCTCCTAAGTACATTCCATCAAGCCCCATAACATCAGTCCTGTGCTGTTCAGCTCTATCAGGAAGGAGCTCTTGTGCATCCAGAGGCCTCTCATCCTACTCTGCGTATGACACCCCCACTGAGCCACCTGGTGCAGAGACCCTGTCATCTTTTATACGACTTCAGAGTTAGCCCTGCTGCTCTTTGCTGACAACATGCTTACCATTAAATATTAACATTACCATTAACGATCACAGGCAAGTCCCCTTGATAGGAGGGCACGTTTGCAAGTGCACACACGCGGGCATGCATAATATACCAGTGCATGAGTGCCTGCCTGCGCGCGCGCACACACACACACACACACCACACACATACACACACACACACACACACACACACACACACACACACACACACACACACACACACACTTTTAAGCTAAATCAATTACACATCCAAGACAGTGTGTACCCTCAACTCCTGACAGCATTCCTTTTGCACAGTGCTGCACCTCTACATGACACAATTTGCTTGACAAGGATGGGAAATATAATAATAACAGAACCACAAAGAGGTAATTAAATTTCTAATTTCAGGACTGTAGGTTTTTATCTTGATTGTTATCAACTGTTTGTACCTTGCTCTTGACTAGAGAACATAATTTATGGATTTGTGATTAATAATCCTCTGATTAGCATGCAAAACCATCATTAAGTGAAGAAGAGCGCTTCAAAGGAGCCATGTATTGTTTGTAACAATGACAAGAGAAGAGGACACGAGCGTGGGCATGCAGTTTATTTATACCAAACCTCTCAAGTATCAGTTCAGACTCAACATCTTTGATGGTGACAAAAAATTGTTGTGATTTGGATTTCAGATCATTAAGGCCTCATGTTAAGACCACAGCACGCACAAGAGGTGATGTTAGTGGAGATTCTTATAGAGAAGGAATGGACAACTTACCATCCGCTAACAACAGGGCTGTTGATGGAGAGGAGAGAGGGAGGAGGAGGAGGAGGAAGAGGGGAGGGAGGAAGGCATGGAGAAAACAGAAAATGCAATGAGCAATGGAAATGCAACAAAGAAACAAACAAGAAAGAAAAATGGTTAATAAGAAGGAGAGAAATGTGATGGCCTCGGAGAATTACTTTGTACTGACCCCGAGGTGCAACCGAACGTTCGATTGGCTGATGAGGAGGAAGGATTACGGCACTTTGTAGCTTTTTACAAGCATTTATTATGTTCATTAGGGGGGAAACTGTTAGAAATCAACAAAGCTGTTGAAAGTTTTCCTTCCCCGCCTTTTTTTCATGTTTTTTACTCTCAGCTTTGGTCAGATAACTGAGAGTAAAGAGATGACAGTTTCACATGAACACATATTTAACAAGAACGCTCATCTCCTAAACTACTAATGACCTCTCCTCCTCTACAAGCCCTTTAATAAACAGAAATAGTACGGTAAATACTAACCCCTGAAACAAATTAATATATGCATCAATTGCAAAAGTGCATTTGCTGTGGGCATCTGCAACTCGTGAAATGTAACACTTCTATAAATACTGTATTATGTAAAAGCTAGATTCACTACTGTCAATATGGTGGAGGGGAGGATGACAAGAATTTATTTGGCAGCTTCGGTTAGGGGGTGTGGGCCGTGAAACAACAACAACAAAACCTGCATCAACCTGTCGTGAATAGCTGCCAGCCAGCCTAAAAACCCAATGAGTGTTTTAAGGAGTGTGTCACGAAAGCCTGCACGCTGCTTTTAAATTCTGCAGAGATTCAAAACTAAACACTAGCAGTTCATGAAAATTCTCTGAATTTAAAGATTTTAGTCATTTTAGTCATTTTCAGTTTAAACCTGCATTAATTGGTGCTTGGCCCCTCAGCAATGATAAATAATTGTCTTGTAATACACATGTGTGCATCAGTATCAGCAATCATTAATTTCTACCTAGTTGTTTGTGGTCACCACGCACTGCTGAGAACACTAGGTGGTTTTTCAGCTGCTAAAATTTCACCTTTGTGAACAAGCTAATCATAATCCAAAACATGGAGCCCATTATACTCAACTGCCCACATTGTTATTGGGTATTTTCGTAATAACATACTTGAAACTATGAGCAAATATCTGTATTTAAATCTCTTTTTGGGCCGATCAAAAAATGTCACAGGACGAGGAGGCTGTGATAAAAAAAAAAAAAAAAAAATACACTTCTGCAGTATATGTTCACCTAGAATAAGCAAGCAGGCACTTGTGCACTTGCTGAAATATTCTTAGTCAGATGTGGTATTCTGTAACACGATGATGAAAATGTCTCTCACAGCTGCTCCAAAACATCACTCCCCTTTCCCCACGTTTTGATTTGACTTTGCCTGGTTGTTTATCTGCATGCCGTAGCTGCGGATCACTGACACACTCAGATGCCCTCGGGAAAGTTTAAACCATAACAAAGATGAAATCATAAAGAAAAAAACTGGGGGTTTGTAAAGTAATTTGGCAAGAAAGATAAATGCATCACAAATTTTGCCATTAGTGAATGAAAAGCGAGGAGAAAAGCGTCCCTATGGCTTTCAGCCTCTAGAGGTTCACAGTGACAGCTCTACCTTTTGACATCTTCACGGTCAAATTCTCCTTAAATTTACAAACCAAAGATTTCACATGACTTTAAAAAAGGAATAGGACGACACGCAGGAAGAAACTAAGCTGTCTACATCCAACATGAATGGACCGGCTGCTTACTGAAACCTTTTTCACTGAGACATGATACTAATTGACCTGTTTGTGTTCAGAGGCACCTTATCAACTCCCGAAATCAAATACAGTCCACAGTTAATCATGATTAGAAGCTAAGTGCATTAATTGCTATGGGTGACTTGCTTCATTATCATTAGTGGTCGCCGAGCTGTGTTGATCTCAAGCCAAATGTGGTGGAGAGACCACACCACACTAAGTAATAATAGGATGACATTTAAAAAAAACTGAGAAGGGAGCGTCTAGCATTCACACATTCAGGTGCAGAAAATACACTAGAACAACTACACATTGTTAAAGTGGGTTTCTTAAAATCTCTAGCATGTATTAATTCATCAATAACTGTTCTGAACACCAGAATGATATCTATAAAGTACAAATGTTGTCTTTGGTGAACAAAAATTCAATTCAATTTACTTCTAATTTATTTATATAGCGCTGCCAAATGACAACAATAGATGCCTCAAGGTGTTTTATATTGTAAGATAAAGACTCCATAATAAATAAATAAATATTTCCAGGTAGGAAAGAAGTGTTTTTGCTCATTATTTTGTTCATAATGATGTTGATAATGTGGAATGGTACGAGGAAGTTAGCTGCATCTAAATGTTCCAATTTTCATGACATAAATTTATGTTTTATTAATCCAGAACAGCCATGTTTTGATTGCAAGGGCCACTGCTCATTTTTGTCTAACATGCACACAGAGATCATTGCTAGTTGGTCTCTTTTTATTAGTTGTTTATAAAAATATATAAAATGAACTATGTGCATGTAGTCATAACTAGGGCCTCCAGTGAATGAAAGGCTATAGTGACATGCATGTTCTTAGGCCATGAAACCCCCATGAAGTAAGAGCTCGGGGGGTTTAGACAGATTGACAAAATACTGGACTCTGATGCAAAAAAAAAAAAAAAAATGCTGTTTATTTGTGCAAATGCTCAATTACTTTAAGAACAAAAATGCCCAGAATGTCAACATGTGTAGGAAGCCTCTATTCTGTATCATTTTTCACTTTCGGTGGATAATTTCTGAGCCGTTTTCAGCGCAACCATCAGCGTGTGCACCCACAGTCATGCCAAAAACAAGCTCACAAATCTATTATCAGACACATAAACAGGAGTGTTTTAAAGGCAGTGGGCTGGCAGTACTGACTGCACTCACAGGCCAGAGTGCTGTCATTTTGCCAGGAATACAACTGCGATAGGGAAGATTAACCTAAGAGATGTAATTGTAGAGGTGGAGGAGTGTGCTTGTGTGTGTGTGTAGACAGTGAATGTGTAAGTGGAGGGCTAGGATATCTGTGTCTCTGTTTAATTGCCATCATCAGCATGCTCTTTTGTGTGCTCTGCCTCATCAGATCTGTCCGGCTACAAAATAGTGAGTCCTCCTCTTGATGTTGCACACATCTGGACTCTGAGACCGGCATCAATACGACACTAATGGGGCGCCTTTTCTCTCTTTAGCTCATTACGGAAGAATCATCATTTGACTTACTGGGGCTACTCTGGTTGCCAAGGACAAAGTGGCTGTGCTGGGAGTGTTGTATGTGAATACATGAAGGAGTGGATGTACGTACGTATGGATTGGGGAAAGAGATACAAAATGAAGGAGAATTTTGTGCGTGCACAAGCAAAGTATGGGAGATGGCTAAATAGATTTATGAGGCAATAACAAAAGAATAGAAATGAGCGATTGGTGGAAAAAGGAGAGTAGCAGTGGAAGCAAGGATGGAGAAAGAAATTGAGGAAGCAAGGGGTATTAAAGGATAGAATCTGAAGAGATGGATGGATGAACACTGGCAGGAACTGCTACATGCGGATAGACAGATGAAGGGAGTAGTAGATATGATAAAAAAAAAGAAAGAGGGATTATTGAGTGGAATGAAAGGAGTGGGTGGATGGAAAAAAAGATGGGATCAAAGATGAACAATCTGTTGGATGCAAGGAAGAAGAATAATTTAGTGAGTAGTTTAATGGAGGGATTGGCAGAAATGGGAGGGCAAGAATTTACAGAGCAACCAAAGATGTGAGGTTGAAAAAAGGAGAAGGAGTGGAGGAAAGAATACATAGGCCACAGCCAAAACAAGGACAACTAATCTAAGGAATATGAAAGAAAAAATGGGAATCTCAGCAAATGAACTAATGGACAGGAGGACAGATGGATGTTTGCGGGGATTGAAAGGATGGATAAAGGTACTAACAGAGCTAGGATGAGTGATGCATGAGTTCTCTGATGGATAGAAGAGGTACAGAATGAGCACCATTGATCTATATACAGAAAGATGGATGGAAATGGAGAAAGAGACTGCAAGAACAGGCTATGGAGCAAAGAAGGGATTGCAGATTCTTGATAAGAAAGAGATCACAGCTTAAAGGAAAAGCTGGAGCATACAGTTGGATGTGATGTTAACTTGTCTGCATTTCGCATGTGTGACAGTCATGGTTCAAGTGAATAAGGTCCCATTCACACAGGTTAACAAACAACATGGCAACCACCAGTCATGAGGGGAAAAATGTGTTTCATAGCAGTTGCTGGAAAATCAATTGCTAAAGCCCCAAACACACAGCGACCACCTAGCAACCACTGGTTGCCATGGAAAAATGTGTATTCCCAAACTGTGAGGCACAAAATCTGCTTAAGATTGCTGTGGTCACCTGTAGCTTGCATGACTCATGCCGACTTGTCTACAAATACTCGCCAGCTGCTCTCTGAGTGGTAGCGAAACTGGAAAAAGTGCGACAAACCAGAAACAAAGGCCGCTTGTTCCTAATGCAAAAAGTTGCGTCTTTTAAAATGTGTCGGCCGACTTTTACTTTGAAGGTAGGCAATCTCAGTCTCCAGTTTGCGTTGCACTTTTTCAAGTTTTCAAGTTTCAAGTTGCTTGGAATTCATGGGTATTTTCAGATTCAGAGCTCCTTTAGAGAACTAAGCTATTACAAGTCATCTTAAGGAGGATATCTGCAATCCATGTTATTGTTGTTGCAAAAACTTCACCAATTTTTTCAGTCTCATGGTGCCACTGGAGATCAGGAAAATTATTAGGTCTCATCAACCACACTGTTCAAACAGATAAATAAAGACAATCTGCAGGATGTAAGCTAGAGACCATACAGCGACATGCTCAATAAAACCTCAGACTACACCTGCCGTTGAAAATATCAGAAACGGGTACAGATACCTTATATAGAGGGCTAGAAAGAATATGAGTCAAGGGTGTAAAGTG